TTTAACATGATGAGAATGTATAAGATTGTTCTCTAATTTGTCTGATTTTTTCATGAATTGGATTTTGTTTTTGGTATTGCATAACATTGAGGATTTGGTTGCCGTGTTCTTTTGAGTGTAGGTAGATTTGAAATTCTTCTTTTATATCAATTTTTTACCTTTTTATATGTCTGTGAACAAGATAACTTGAATAATTTTGGTCGGATTTTGATGAAATAAGGTTTGAAGGTGTCAGGCGGGATAAACTTGGATGATTTCGTAAACCAGCGAGATCGGGTCATGGGAACGGAGTTTTAGGGGTAAAAATTGGTACAGTATTTCTCATTTTTGAACCTCAAAATATAAAATTTCCCAATTTCTCTCTAAACCATTTTCAAGAACTTAAAAGAAATAATTTATTACATTGAAATGTTTTTGTACGGATGGAGAATAAGTAAACTGTTGTTTTTGTTTTTAGTTTGCTTGTTTATGGATATATTTTGATAAAACTCAATTTACAAAATGTATTTATTTTACACAAAGCTATAACAGTAATATTTTAGCCTACTAAAAAACCAACTTTATTGCACTCAATGTAGCAGTAAACCTAAGGTACTCATAAAACCTAATGTTATTTAAATTGATTTAAGTGAAAATCCAACAACAATGGAACAATGGAAATTCTAATTTGCTTAGTCTGCAGGTTTGATGCGGCGGGGGTGTTTTTACTTGTTAAAGGTGTGTAGTTACAGAGTTGCCTAGTGTCCTACAAAAGATAGTGTCCTGAACATTGGTGTGAGAGTGAGAGGAATTAATTTTATCCCTGTACCAAAATTTGAGGGTTTAGGCGCGCTACAAACTACCAGAGGCGTTGTATTAATGAAAGATAAAGATGTGTTTGAATCTAAAGTGGAGGTCAGGGTTAAAAATAGCTTGGTACTGTATTGCTTAACTGTTTTCTGCCTACAAAGAATAATTTACCAAGAGATCACAACCCAGACTTTCCAGAGGTAGGACCAGCTTGTGAATCTAGGTTTTTGGATTAGTCTTTAGTACCGTACACCTTGGACAGTTATAAACCTACAACTCACCTCATATATTTTGCACTCAGCGGAGCATCCCAAGGAGGGGCGGTATCTTGCACTGATGCCGCCTTTGAAAATTTGTCTTTGTTACTAAAAAATAAGCAAAAATGTTGAATTGAAAAAAAGGCAATGGAATAACTTATCATACAACACAAAAAAGTATCTTAAATTCTCTTAAGTGTAAGGTATAAGACCTATAACATTTAATCCAAGGAAAATTAAATCCAACCATCTAATAAATTTACAATTGTTTGGAATTTCTTCCATATTTGTCAGGTATATATACAACAACCCTTCAATATACTCAATTATTTGTTTATTTGAGCTCTACAAAATTATTTGTAATCTACTACAGCTCTACTATAGTTCGGCCGCTTAGAAAGCGACCTCCTCCAGCATCGGTTTAGCATTAGCGTGCAGGTCGTTTTCTAAGCGGCCGAACTATAGTTGGATAATCATATATCATTGTATTAGGCCTAGTTAGGCTGGGTGCTTTCAATTATAGAGAAACCTTTTCTCTATTAGGCTACCTATTGAACTATTAAACTGTACCCCTCTTTTGTAAGTTATGATTTACATCAATTATTGCTGTAGAGTAAATCATACAAGGGGTTCAGTTCCGCCACAGAAAACGTACTACTATAACCCAGAATGCCAACCGCATGGTAAAAAGCATTAAGCGTTTTGAGAGAGCTTTGCCTGTCAATCCGTAGGCAGCGCCACCAGTGTTGCTATGCTATATATGTGGTGGCGCTGCCTACGGATTGACAGGCAAAGCTCTCTCAAAACGCTTAATGCTTTTTACCATGCGGTTGGCATTCTGGGTTATAGTAGTACGTTTTCTGTGGTTCCGCGGATAAAGTACTAACTAATGTTATCAGATATTAAATATATTAATAATATATATAATATCGGTATCAATTGGTTACAGACCAATTGCAAATACTGCTAAAATAAATTAGAGTGGGGAAATTTATAGTCAATCATCCTTATATACAAAAGAACCATAGATCAAAGTGCTGCCGTTCTGGTAAACTGTGTACACAAAGGTTTTCATACACGTGATCGTAAAAATATAAGTGCAAAAACAGTTAATATACTAGGCTAACAAACTATTCATGTTTACCTCATATTGCTGGCAGTTTAAAGACTAGGCCTTACTTCCTTCAACTTGGATGCCAATAAATAGAAATTATTTCACTTAACCTTGAATAAAAATGTGGGTCATTTTATAACATGTTTTGTTCCTAATCCAGGTAATTTTTGTTATATAAATTAAAATAAATAAACAAATTTGTATAAATTTGGATACACTAATGACAGAACGAGATATCACACAGAACAGAAATAGTTTGTCAAGAACAAGCAGACGACGCAAGGGATCGGGTGCAAATAAAGATTAGATTGAACGAAACAGCTGTCTTGTCAGAGCAGTATAAGAGAAAAGTAATTTTCTTATAGGTACTGTGTGTATATTGGAGGCTATTTTGCCATAGAATACAGGATCTTATTCCGTTTTTTAAGTAAGGTTTCTTTACGAAATCAAAATGTTATTAGAATATAAAATTCTGTCATTTAGCGAATTTCTACTATTTGGAATAATATATTATTACCGTAGGTGGCATGGTAAAACTATAGATTACACTACACACGCATGTCCTGCTTAATATATCTTCTGGAATTCGGAAGGTGGTCTGACTATCAGACTGATCATTCCGAGGGATGTTTGTACAGTACTGTACTTCTTTTCTCACTTAGGCGAATGCTGGAATGGTTAACTCAAGTGCCCGCCAACCAGAATGGACGATAGAACCATATAGATGGGGCTATGTTTTATCTATGATAGAACTCAGTTATAATTATGTTTGTTTCATGAAAACCCTAAATAGGTGACCCTCAATAAATAAATCGTTTTCTATAATCTTGTATTGTACTTTCTATTACTTTTAACTTCTTATCCAATAGTCAATGCTGTTACTTTTAAACTACAGTAGTAGCATAGAACAAATAAACACCATTTGGTAACATAAAATGGTGTTTATTTATTCTACGTACGACTATGATAGTAGTTAGAAAGAAATTTTATGTTTTAGTGTCCTCCAATCAATAAATACAGCTACAATTTAGACAAGTGCCGTTTTACAATAACGTGCATTTTCAAATTCTGAAAAAATCTTTAAATAAGAAAAACTTGTCAATTTCACACTTCAATAATTGTGCAAAATGTGTCCTTGCAAACTACAATCAATTACATTTATTTAAAAAATGATTATCAGCTCATAGATGATATTTTGTTGGTATTTTTATTTACTGACTTTTGATCTATATATCAGTGTGAAAGCTTAATAACACGAGCAAAAACTGCTGCAAAAATGCAAACAAAATTGCGAGCCTCCATGATCAGACTATGGGGATGCAGTTTTATGGAGTAAAAATGGGATTCTTTTTACTTTCCTGTATGTAAGTTTAAATGGAGAAAGTATTATTAGTCAACATTTAGAGTTTGAGTGGATATGTTACACTCAAACTCCGAATTCGGACAATGTTCAAAATTTTTACCCACTTCGCGATGTGGACGGAGTGTAAATCCCACGTCGCGGAGTGATCATTTTATTCAGACATCGGCCGAAGCAAAATGCCCAGACCGCGTAGTGGGTAAACTAATTTACTTAAATGCCGAAGTTAAAACGCTTTTCGGTGATTGAGCAATTCCAAAATATCCACAACGTGGTGTGAACAAAAGTAATTGTCCACGTCGGGTTGTGGGTATGCGCAAACACCGAATTCTCATTCTCACAGGACATCCATAATGAAGACCTAAATAGAGAGCAGTTAGCATACATTTGTGCACTCTGTGCCCAAGAAATTGTGCTATTATTAATACAACATGGGAAAACTGTGTAACTTCCTTAAACATCCAGACACAAACAATGTCCAGAACACGGAAATAAAATTAATCTCAGTTTCAGTCGGAGGCAACGTAATGGACAGCATTCCTGATGTTGACTGGGGACTCTTGGGACTAAACACTGAGTTCTGGAGAAATAGTTCTCAAGAAACCATTCAACCGCTTACCCATGAAAGGGTTGTTGACAAGCTAATGGGTATTTGACAGGTTGCCGATACCGTTTATTTTTAATAGATAGAAAAAAATTGAAATTACTTTAGTTTGAAAACTAAAAAGGGCCACTCTAAATTTGCCAGCCAGTACAAGTAAATATTGAAATATATTTACTCACGTTATAACAAATACCATAACTAAACACTGAATACAACTCTGAAAAAAATGAGCACAACTGAACACTTTACACATAATCACTGATGGTCACCGACTCAGAATGCACTCATTGCCAGATTTTGTTTCTAATCAAGATATCAAGATATGACTGACCTTGTCACAGTCTGGTAGTTTGTAGTGTTTGAAAACACACAAACAATTGACCTGGCCATAACTGTATCGGTATTGTTAAGGTTTAAGCCTGAATAAAGAACACTCGATCTTTGGAACAATGAAACTGAAAAAATGTTTCAAACAAATATTGATGATTATGTTAGTTATTTAACATTAATCTCTAATAATTATTTTGATTCCCCAACACAAGTGAAAAAAACATTTATTATTTAATTAACAGTGGTATTTTTTGTATTGATAGGGTTTAAGCTATAGTACAGTAAATATAAAGATGTTCTGTAAAATCAAAGCTCAACGACCAAGCACAGAGTTCAGATTTATAAAGACTACAGAAAATAACGATGACAAGGGTTTAAAACAGAAGCCACCTCAATGCAGGGCTCCTGGGATCCTGAAAGGTGTTTTACTTAACGAGATGGAAAATGTCCGCATTATTCTGATAGATAAGGGTTAAAAGTTACAAAGCAATGTTTTTTTTATAAAATTTATATATTTAAATAATTAGAATAACTAAGACATATAGTTCTATCACAAACCACTAATATCTAATTTTCTTAGGTATAAAGTAAATAACATAAATAATTCCATTAAAGATATTGCTTAAAGGACAAAAAACTAAAAATTATATAAATTACAGCTTTGATTTTCCTTAATAAATAGGCCTATTACTAATGGTTTTTTATTAAATAGTTCAAACTACTGTTATAAACAATGTGGGTTTGAATAGTACTTAAGGTTTGATATCCAAAAACATTGAATGGTATTTGATGAATTACAATTAAACATTTGCACGAGGAAGGGGCACGAATACATTTGATAAGACAATGTACTTACGCCCCTTCGTGTTGAATGCCACTAATTTTTATGTTTTAATCAAAATGTGATAACAACCTAAAGAAACACGAATTGAAATTTATTGGAATCGACATCATTACAAGTAAATTGTTGATTAACTGGAATAATGATATGATAGCGGAACCATATACCCGAGTTTCCAAATAACTAGAGGTCTATTTTGGAAAAAGTATTGTTTATAAATTTGCTGAATCTTCCCACTATGTGTTGACACCAGTGTGTCAAATATTAATATGATACAATGAATACAACCCCTTTAAGAAGCAAAATGCTTGTGGAGAATAGTCAGACTGGAATTTTGCCGCCAAAATGAGCTTTGTGCGGCCGCCGCTACGATCGCTCGCATGGCGGCCATGCTACTATATTTCTCTCTCTTTCTAAACAGACTCTTTGTCTCACTCTCTCTCACTCAGTCAGCTGACTTGGCCGTGTGCTCGCGATAGTCTACCTAGCGGCCACCGCGGGAACCATCAAAAACTCAAATATTTCCAGACAGAATTTTTTACAAAGGCATTGCGCTTCAAGGGTTTGTATTCATTGTGTGATATCAGGGGAATGTAAGACAAGTTATCAAAACAATTCCAAAGTAAAGTTTGTCTTACGAATATATACATATATAAATATATATGTACAGTCACAGAGAAGTAAGGAACAGAGGATGGTACACTTAAATGGTGCCTAGCACTTTGCTGGTGTCTAAGGCACAGTCCTGCACCGCCCCTCTCGCCCTCATGTACTGCAACACTCAAGGTGGAGGAAGACCTTGTGCAATAGGAATTTCCGCACAGTGCTCAGCGTTCGGGCTCTTTCAAGCTTGTCACAAGTATATTTCCGTCCCAACATACCAGAGCTGAAATCGCACGGTTGTCCCATAAGCAAGTTTTCTCTGTTCCTTAGTTCTCTGTGGTTCAGCACAGCAACAAAGATATTTTGATCATAACTTATAAATAATAATCTCCCTTGCTTTAGGATTACAAATGTAAGTCACACACTTAAGTAAAATTTCCAGGTAATAAAACTCAAAACTAAACATTCAATTACTTTCACTAAATTTAACATTACTATAAAATGACCATATTAACCTAGCATAATAATTTGGCACCCTAAGAAAATCTTAAAATCTATAATATTAATTTTAAAATAGCTTAATGCATCAGTTTCAAATAGATAAATGTATTCACAAATGGGTTTGATTTATTTACAATTAAAAATAAGTTAATGTTTTTTTCTTACAGTGTAAAAATTAAAAATCATGTCACTCTTGCATGTATGTGATAAGTTCTACTTTATTTTCTTTGGCTCATTTAATGAGTAGTTAAGAATTAAGAAATAGAATGCAGAACTGCTGGTCTTAATAATACAACATACATGGTTATTTTTTGGTTTACCTCTTAAAACTAAGAATTGGAATGTGAGAAAACACAAATTCAATAACACCCCAACAAAATGTGACAAAACCGTCTCATAACTTTTGGAATGGACTTCAAACAAGAAACTTCTGCCTTACCAGCTAGGAAAGCATTCACTTTCTACAAATGTAAGACATCTGGGACTGCCTTATGTGTGATAGTCCAACCAAACTGGTTTTCCAACAAACTGCAATGTTTGCCAAAATATGGCCAATTTTGTCACAAAATCATTATTGTGATTCAGTAGCATAATATTTGGTTGTCAGGTAAATGAACATTAAAATTAACTATGCACAATTTAACAGCCCAACAGTATTGGTCTAACAAGAATCAATGGTATTTTGTATTTAGGTTTTAGAACACTAACTTAAAACCTACTGTACAGCTAACAAAAGCTGGCTTTTATGAACCCAGTGACTTATTTGTTCGACGGAGAGAGATCAAAATATAAACTAGCGTTAACATCACAGCTTGAAAGCAAACAATTTGGAAATGTAATCTATGATCCTGTCATCACTCAACACATCCATGTGATCCATGTTGGGGAATGTCTGGTGATACACCGGCTGTTTTTGGTTGCCCTTCCAGTGAAGACAACCTTCTAAGCTCCTCTTGTTTACTGTTCCGTCTCCGTCACCAAACACAAAACTGGGACTGCCCTCGGGGAACTTTCCTTTTTTGTAGACAAGTCTGAAATTAAGTAAACATTGAAAGGTTAATAGCAGAGTGAATTCCTATAACTCCAGTGAGTACTAAGGACATTTTTTTACTAAGACTTTTATGTTTATCGGACCTTGGTTATTTAATAAACTGGCAGATAACATTAAAACCTCAAGGAACAAAAAGCATTTTCTAAAAAACCTTAAGAAATGGTTGTTTGAACTTGATGAAGTTGACTTAATATTAAACATTCAGGCATAATTTAGATGTTTTGTGTACAGTATTATACAATTTCTTTTTTGTTTATATGTACAGTTAATACAATATCAGTTTCATATTTTTCAAGTAATTTCAAACATGAAAAAAATAGTGAGCTAGGCTACCATTTGATTTTGATAAGTAAAATAAGTATAGTAGAGTAGGTTTAAGATTTTACTGATTGTGAAAACTGAACAGATGTTTTGTATATTTTTAAACTACTGTATATTATTTTTAAGTGAGACTGGTTTTTCTTTACTATTCATTATTGTCAAACGCTGAATTTTTTTGTTATTTTAAAAGTTAAAAATGGAACCTCCAAACAGGCATAGCCTTGGAGGCCCTATATTTTCTCTCTTCTATATAAAATCAGTAGGCCTAATTTGCTTTTAATTGGTTTTTTGTATAAATTAATTATCTTTGTAAAACCTAGTATATATAAGCTAATCAAAGTTTGTATTGATTTTGTAACTGAATGTATATATTGTGAATTCTTTGTCAAAAAGAGAAAATAAATTCATTATTTCATTTTTTCTAGTACTCTTTTTGCGTGAATTTACCATAAACTACCTGGGTAGCTCCATTATCTATTACATCATAGTAATTTTATTTTAACATCCTCTGGGTTTTGATAACCAGCTTGGAGTAGATCACACACTCACAAACTTTCCTAACATTACACCGTTTTTCCACTGAATTAACCAGAGCCATATTTCTCTAACGGCAGCCACGGCGTTGCTGGGGGCCCCACTTGGGGCTAAAATAGAAATGTTTCTCTTAAAAGACCAATTTTCCCAATTCAGTAGACCCCCTTTTAACCGAATTTGGGTTAACTGAAACGGTTCCATAACATAATACAAAACTAAAATATAAGTAATACGTAAATGTAAAATGCATTTGTAACTTCAGTTGTTTAGTTTAAAGTATTTTCTAACCCATTGTAAGATTTAACCACGACCACAGTGGGTGTTAACAATTTTGTTGTTTCTTGTTCACAATTTTGCCGCAATTGCAGAAGTCGCATGAACCAATTTTATAGTATGACAGTTATGGTTTTTTAAGGATACGTTCCAAAGCAAACCAATTTTGGCGGCCTGTCCTTATATTATTTTGGTCCAAGCCCCGAAGATCAAAATTTTATATCCAACCCAAAGTAAAAAGTCTAGTCTAGGCTACAGACCACTAATATTATTATTCAAAAGTATCTACATATTTGCTAATCAAAGCAAATATCTTGTCAAAAGCAAAGAGTTCATTGAGTTGAAGCAATACCACGAGTTTCATTGATCACCTAAACTTCAGCCACCAAAGAATTAATGTAGATAACTAACAAGGCACAGCCGGCTCATCAAGACTGTATGAACTATGATGTTTGTTGAGCATCAATTCAAACTTAACAGTATTTTAGTTTTTGCATATATTGTAAATTTACAATTCTACACTTGCATAGCTCTCTCTGCATAACTGCTAGAGATTAACAGACAATGCAAGCTATTAGAGTCTCAAATATATTTTGAACTTCTGTCTTGCTGCCTGCTTGGCTAGACGACACTGAAAAACTTGATTAAAACCCCAAATGTTAGCATAAGTCAATTTCAGTACATTGTATGAACGAAGACAATGGATTATACATTTTGAATAGCCAAGTACTTGGAGGGTCAAGCATTTCAGGTTACCGATTTCCTGAACCCTATGGTTGAATGACCATTGACCAATGACCGAGGATTTGTTCTCAACTTTAAAAATTTAAAAATCAACCTACTCGAACAGACAAACTAATTGGCACCCGTCATCTCACCTTTCTACAGTCTGTACATTGTAACCGTGGAGACAATGCACCTCAACCCCTGGAGCTGTGAAGTCCAGAGTAAACTTATAAACGTCCTTCCACATCTCCCAGGCTACCTCGTACTCAATGTCCCTGAAAACAAAATTAAAACTTTAGACCATAACCAACTGATGAACTCACAGCCTAAACCATAATAACAAGAGACTATAAATGTTGGGGGGCATATTTCTATCATTATATAGTAGATAACAGTTTTCTTCTACCACCACAGCACTTTGCCACACTGGGGCAACTTGGCAATATCAACAACCGTAAGTAAATGTTGGGGTCTCGGTGATAACATGATCGTCATTCACGATCATGGCAACACTCGCAAGCATATTTTGCGGTCTCGGCAATACCGCAATCGCGACTGCATTGTGCGATATCAGTAATAATGTGATGATCTCTAGTGATCGTGATTCACTTATGATGTTAAAAGAGAACCAATGTAATGCCAGCAATGAATTGAGACTTATTGGCTATTCTAGTTCTTAGTCCATACAGAATTCAAGTACAATTCTCGGTGCCCAGGTTGGCTCTATACCCAGATGTCATCCTGTATAAATATGTTTATAATACACCTCTCTCAGCATTTCCACGTTTTTTCCAATAAGAGAAAGTTAGCTTTAAGCATGTATAGTGATTAAGCTATCTTAATACAGATAGGCTATTCAAAACTAAGTAAACGTTTGAATTGAAAACAGGAAAAACAACTTTAATCCTGATTTGCCTCACCTTAAATTGGCAAATACTGTTAATAATTTTAGCAACATACCTTGTAAGCTCATTGTCAATTATTCTTATCGTCATTACAATTAAATGTTTCAATCAAGTAAACTTAGTAGTACTGTACATCGAAAATATTTGGTGTTGTGTCATCCTGTGTTTTCTCAGTCCTACTTAAAAACTTCCATTATAAAACTAATATCTTGGTTAATAATATGAAGCTGTAAAATTAATTTATGTTAACTTTCTTTTGAATTTGAATAATCATAAGCCTACTTGTTTTTATTAAGTATAAATATGAAAAACACATAAATATACGAGACGTAGGAATTGGCTAACTCAGGAACTCGCTAACTCGGTCGTGTGTCGGAACTGGCTAACTCTGGAACTGGCTAACCGTCTCAGTCAGGAATTGGCTAACTCTGGAACCTGCTAACTCGATTTTGTCTCGCGGCGGAATTCGCTAACTCTGGAAGTCGCTAACCTGGCCGCGCCCACTGCACGGAGCGTTGCCAACCTTGAACGACAAAATAATCGTACACTACCGTATTTCAAAATGTCAGTGTCAATGGAGATACAGTAAATGTTATTGTTTTTTGTTATCAATTCCACTTTTAACAGATAACTAGCCCAAAGTAATTAAAAGACAATTGAAAAATCATGAAAAAGTGTATATTTATTTAACTGTACAATAGCCAGTTAAATGTTTATGATTTCGATCTTAAAAATAAATGCCATCAGTACAAAAGAAAATAATAGAATATGAAAAATATTGAACATTCAGTTTAATTGGTACTAAATAATTAGACCCCTACGAAATTAAGCTAAAATACACGCAAGTTCTCAAACACGGAAAACAGATTTAATCGTAATGTCGTAATAAACCAAAACCATTAATTAATACAGGGGTGCCCACAAGGGGGGGCCGTGACGCAGACTGCGTCATTGAAATTCTTGGGGGGGGGCTCAAAAAATTCAAATGGGGGGGGCTTAAGTTAATTGCAACAGTGTTCAATGTGACGACAATCCAAAATACATTACGAAATCGCCAGATAGAAAGTGGATAATTAATGACAATAGTTATATTATTGAATTAAATTAGTTATAATAGGATTTTAGGATGGTTTAGGATTCGTGTAGAAAGTTATTATTTAAGATTAGCAAGACGTGAGATCTAAGAGGGAGCGCACGGGTTGGCTCAACTGCTGTGATAGATGGGTACAGACACGTCCAGCTACACCGCGACTTAGCACAGCAGAACGCTTTGTTGACATAAAGCTCGTTAAAATACGATCAAGTAGCAAGTAGCATAGGCTACAATACTTTACACTATTGTGTAGATACTCGATTACCTGAGTTAATAGGGAAAGGGGGGGGAATGAAAAATACGGTTAATCCAATATAGTATAAAAACAGATGACAAACTCATTAAAACATTGTAAACAGCTATTAAGTCACGATTTACATTTTTATAAACGAAATTTAATATTGCACAATCATTATCTATACTTATTTAATACGCAAGCAGGATTTTTGTGACAATTACTCCTCTGAAACTACTGAACCGATTAACACGTTTTTGGTGTCATTGAAAAGAGCGTAACGTGAAGTTGTGCAGGAAACTTTCTTTTTAGATAAATAATTAGAGAGTGAGGCCCTGGGGCCCTTTAAAGTTTCGTATTTCTCCATAAGATTAACATGGGAAACAAACATTGTTTTGAAACTCCAGCTGTTGTCAGAAATTAAATATTAATAATTGGTCTCCATGGAAGCATGAGAAAATTCACAATATTTAGATTTGCTTTGACATTTAAAAGTAAACAACCAGAACTGTCAAATGCCTATTTCACAATTTCAGACAGCTGATCCAAAAAAAAATAAAACAACTATGTGGTAGGTTTATTTAATCTTAAACTTGATGATAGATTATTTATTATGAATCTATTTCAATGATTATGAAACCGATTTTTCCGTTGCGCAGCAAAAATTGAAAGTGAGAAGAAGAACATATGTTAATTGTAAACAGTAATGTGTAAATAATTATCTATGTTGAATTAAAAATGTGTATAGTTTTGGATCATGGTTTGTGTTTAATGATATAAGTAATTAAGAGTAGAAGAATTTTTTTTAAGAGTATGCCTATGATAAATAACACAATTTTAGAGCTCTGCCAGTTTTTGCTTAACTCTGTTCTGTAGAGTTTAAAGTAGCCTACACCTTATTGTCTACAAATTGGCTAAATAACTTAGGTACGGTACATTATAAAAGCTGACAGCTTTTTTATCTTGACTTAAATTGTAAGCTTACCTTTTCCCGTCCATGATCAGTTTGATAGTTAAAAATTAACCCTTTAAACTGGAATAGGGCTGGAATGTAAATTGTGAGTATTTCCATCAGTTAATAATCTTTTAGTCGACTCTTTTAAAATCATCGGAAATTATGACTGTTATTAGTTTTTAAGCAAGTCATTTGTTTATAAATAACTCCTGTACTTCTTTGCAATTGCTCGATTTCGAGCAACATGTACACTAGTTATTGTAAATTTCAAATCATTTATCTTGGTTCAGTTGGACAAACTGCAACGTTTAAAATTGTAGCTAACTCAAACTCAACTAATCACTAGCCAAACATTACATTGCTATAAATAACGTAAATATTAAAGGAACCTTTAGAAAGTGTTGTAAGGTACTGCTCATGATAGACAGATAGGCTACCGATAGGTGCTGTATCACAGCATAGGAATTGATAGATAAGTAATAAAAAAGTGTAAAATTATGTTTAGAGATAATTAAAACACTCTTGAAAATGAATGTAACGAGAACAATCTTGTTATTTTCTTTCTTTGTTCTTCTGTTCATTAATAGGTTTCTCTTCAATTCATACACAAATTCAACAAGTCGCCATATTTAGGCCTACTCATTGGCCAATCACAGCCTTACTAAAGTTACCATGGTTATCACTCAATCACAGTGTACTAAGCATTAATCGTCATCATTCCCCAGCTACATATAATGTTAAAAGCAATAAAGACATTTCATTTCAGCTGTTGTATCTCAAATCTGTTGTAACATAGCGCACAGCAGACAGAAGTGTATAACGGAGCAGACGATTGTTGGCGCAAGCGTTGTTTCCATTTCATTTTCAAAGGAGCTGTGATGTTTCTAAAGGGAGGGAGAGGGGATCGTTCGAGAAAGACACTGACAATTCGTTATGGATATTCTGGCAATAAAAAATTCCTTAAATTGAGGGGACTTATAAAACTCTAATTTTATTTATATAGAAAGATAAGTTTTCCAGTCCTGTACAACACTGATTCACGGTCTTTTCCCTGTAATCAAAATTCAAGTACAACTTGATACACACAGAATCTCCGGTTCCCGACCTGGATCTGGATGATGGCTAGTTATTTAATTTAATTTACAGTTACATATTAGTACTCGTGATAAATCAAACCCGTTATGTAAGCCAAAACCACACGGTATTAATCTCACTTGGTTTTGGATTTGCTTACAAACGTGATCAGAACTGGTTGGGGCCTACACAGTATTCTTAAAGAACATTTATGTAAACATATCAGTGACAGCTAGGAAAAGGAATCTTTATCAAAACAGCTGTTCGTAATTTCATATATGACGTGTTCTCTTAACAGATTATTAGTATTTCATAAATTAATGACGTATGTAGTAAACATAGAGAAAATAAACTAGAAAAATCACACAAAATTGTGTTTTTGATCGTCCGTTATTTTATTTCTAAAATAGTGAGGACATATTTTAATGGCTATAAGGACTCTCTCGCCAATCCTGTGGATACAATTAAACCATTAGAATCATAATCGGTACTCTATAGTTTTCTTTAGAGTAGGCCATGAGTAGGCTGCATAAAATGCCTTCTGGGCCGTGACAGACGGACATAAATTGAGATAAGACATGTTTCAACTTCTTCAATGTATAAAACATAAATAACACAAAATATGTATAATTCTGAGCAATGTACAGACAAAACTATAACTTTATTGATATAGATTAACTGGGTTTGAATTTTAAATATCTAAAAAAAATTATAAAACTTCTTTTATAGTTTTACAAATAGTGCTGGGCGGGGGAATAATGTTTCTCATTTGTTGTGTATGAGGTTTTTTTTACAGATGTATGTTTATGGGGGGGGGGGGAGCTGTTGCTCGATTGGGGGGGGGTGCGTCATGAGTCTAGGGGGGGATGGGCACCCCTGATTAATACAGTCATCAACTATCGTAACTTTCATAACTAATTCATAGATTTAAAATCAAATGTTCGTCATTGAACCGTCCAACTTACGTGTACAAATATGATGACATAGACTAAGTTTTTATTTAGGCCTAATAG